GAGAGGAACCAATACTCGCGCGACGCTCTCGAGGCGTGGCAGGACTTCATCAACCTCAAGGGCCGCATGGACACGGAGCTCAGCAAGGTCACCAAGCGCAACAACTACCTTGTGGAAGAACTGGAGAGCTGGAAGCAGCAGTTCCTCAAGTTCCAGGCCTTTGCTGAACAGCTCACAAAGGAGACGCAAGATCTCAAGACCAAGATTGAGAACCACAAGAGGGAGAACCGCAGGCTCGGCGGTCTCATCGATCAGCAGAAGGACGACAATGCTCGCCTCTCTGTTCGTCTCGCCGGCACGGAGAAGCAGCGTGACGATGCTCTCGAGGCCCTGGTCCTCCAGCAGGAGATTGCCGAGGAGCTCGAGCGCGAGCGCAAGCGCAACAAGAAGGAGCTTTCCGCGCTCCAGCACACCAACATGACAATCCTGCGACAGCGTGACGAGGCTCGCAGGGTGGTCCTTCACCTCCGCAGTCTCATTGGCGGCCAGAGTCACCACATGGAGCACCTCGTCCGCTCGCTGACGAAGCCCGAGGAGATCAGCTCGGAGCTGGAGGACGGTTTCGAGAACGACGAGGATGTCGAGCTCCAGCAGGGCGAGGTACCCAGCGACCGCCTTTCGCCTGAAGCCGAAAACAACCTGAGGAGTGCTGCCCGCGCCAACAAGAGAATGTCTTCGTCCAGCTTCATCGACGTGGCTGATCGTCACCTGAAGGACAAGACGGATGCCATCGCGCACATCATCCGCAACATTGCAGAGCAGTGCCAAGCTGCCGTCGAGGGTCTGTCTCTGGCGCAAGATGCCGAGCTCGACGAGCGTGCCCGCCTCGCCGCCGCCCACCGCAGGCACAGCAACCTGTCGGTGGCGGCCAGCGATGACGGCCACGACAGCCACTCCAACGCCACAGCGTCGGAGCTCGGCGACGACAGCCTCCTGCAGCCTGCCTCGGGTCGCACGTCGAGCATCCCGCCAACGCCCGATCTGGTGCCGAACCGCAGCAGCACGGCCATGTCGTTCGCCTCGACGGCGACGACGCCCGAGCGGTCGAGCCAGCAGTATATGATCCACCAAGACATCCCCACAAAGATTGTCGAGGACGACGGCGAGGACCTCGAGGAGGGCCGCAGCGAGTCGGACACGGCGCCTCAGGAGCACGGCCTCGTCGGCAAGCACGCCAGCAGCCTCATCCACAGGCCATCTGGGGCTCGCATCAGCGCCCTGGGGGGTTCGCGCTAAGGACGAGACCGGCCCCGGCCGATTGACGAACCTGCGACGGTTTGCTATTACGAACGACATTAGAGTGGGGGAGGTTTACTCGGCACGGGGGGCTTTTTTTTCGCTTTCTTTTCCCCAGGGGTTCTGGACCGCATGGTGTCCAATTTCCGCGCATAAAAACCCCTTTTTTTGTCCCTTCTTGTTGCCCCATCTATCCCCCTT